CCGCATTATCAAAGATACCCCGTTTTACGGTACCTATAGACAGGCTTGTGGTCGTACCTACATCGTACCTTTTCTGTACCTACATCTTAAACGGGAAATAATATATATTTTAAAGGTACATTTTGTGACATTGAAACTGGTTTTCTCACTCGTTAAAAATATATTGTTTTTGATTTATGTGATTTGATATATCGACACCCATATTTACTATAACATGTTCCGTCCATATCTCCGAAACTAGTTGACCCTTCCTTAATATTCAAAAGCTTTATAAAAGATCATTTTATTTTGCATTTGGAGTTTAACTCAATCTTATTTAGTGGTAGACGTGAAAAACGTCTATCAAAATTTTTAAATTTGTCGTTCCCACCCTGAAAAAAAAAATCATAGTTTTTATTCAGTGCGGACACGAAAAAGTTTTTGTTGAATCACTTTTTTCCTTTAAAAGTGCCCATCTTGGGATGTATCAACGAGTTGTAGATAAATGGTATGTCTGTCTTTAGAAAAAGTTTCAGATTTAAAAAAAATGTGTTTTTAGAAATCTCATTTTTAAGTTTTAAAAATTATTTTGTGCAGAAAACAGACTTTGTTTTTTTTTTATACTTTCTTCTCAAAACAAATCATCTTTTGGCAACATTTTTGTAAGACTTGACATTATTGAGTAATAATGTTTCGAAGAAAATCATGACAAAAAAGTTCTGCCCTTTCCAAATGTTGGTCTAGATTTTTTTTGAAGAAAATAAGTATGCAAAGTTGCTTAAGTAGAGGAAATCCATACACTTACAAAGTTTCATTGACATCTAAGAGGGTGCTGCCAACCATTTGTCGAGTTAGCGTGAAATTCGTCAATAGTATCTTCGAGAAAGTTGCGTATTATAACTAAAAAGAAACTATGTAGAAAATTGAAAACATGTAAAAGTTAAAAATACGTTACATTTTGCAATAAAAACTGTTTTTTTGGGGTTCATTTTTGAAAAAACAATCCCTCCTACAAAGCAAGTTAAAATGTTGACGTTTTATACATAGTTGTTAGTTTTAATTTTCCCACAATATTTCTCAAAACATCAACCATCTATCTCAATGTTGTGAAAAAATAAATATCTCATATCATTTTAGGGGGATTAATCCCAAAACTCATGCCTTCTAAAGATGACACAGATCATGCTCATCAACTTTGCTCAAGACGTTGCCTCTTGAAACACGCTATTCATGGCGCTATTAATTTAGAGCACGAAATTTTTTTAATAATTTTGAGCCAATTTGTACTTTGTGGAGATAAAAAAAAAGTTATGTAGTAAGATAAGATGACGAAGACATTCTGAGGTGACCATACATACTGAGCTGTGAGGGGCCATACCACGTGACTCATTGCATAATTGAAAAATTGATTTGAATTGTTACATAGTTGAAGATTTTCAGAACAAATCTTGGTCAGCCAGATGTCTCGAAACAAAGATCTCTGATCACCTGATGGAATATTTTTGGAGTCACCTTGCATCATGAGAATATATCCGAGAGATATGAACAGTTTGAACGTCTTCAGTACAATTGTACCTGATCAATCCTGAAGTTTAACAAAAAAAAAAGCAGACGCTTTGAAGGACTTTGGAATAATTTTCAAGCTGCCGTGTTGCCCCGTAACGTGGGTAGATCACCTTTTCGTGGTACATGGTCATTATCAGTGTCATTCCTTAATTTTGTTGCTAAGGAATCCAATTTTGACTGACAAAGGGGCGCGCCTTTGGAGGGTGTTTCAACACTCCGAAGGGTATAAATAGCGGGACCGTTCAATTAGAGTCGGATCCTTGCGATAAATGCGAGGATGACAACTGATATTTTGGAGACATGGAGGTCTTTTGAATAATTTCTGAGCAACCTGGTATCTTGAAAAATGCATGGGAGATATGATTTTGAATGTTGAGCAGTATAATATTGTAGATCTTTGATCACCTGGAGGCCTTTGCAATAATTTCTGCGCAACCTGATATGATGAGAGAATATCTGAGAGATGTGATTTGAATTGTTGGGCAGATGAAGATCTTTAAAATGATACATGATCAAGCTGACGTCTTTAAAAAATAAACTGAGAAGTTTTTTGGGATGTATCCTCACTTGGATGACGTTTATATCTCCTGGGACGCTGGCATCGTGCGTTGTAAACGCTAGTGACAAACAGGCTTGGCAGATTAAGATAGAGAGCTTTTACAGCCATTACAATTACGTCTTCTAAGTTATATAATCTGCGGTGTATACTGTAGCAAAGCTTACAATGCCTTTTTCAAAGCACACCAACACGCACACACATACACACACGCACCATATATTTATCATATACCATATACCATATACCATATCATGAGTTATGATTTTTTTTAAAACAAGCAGGTTAGGGTGGCCCCTAGACAATCGGCATTCTTTAAATATATGACGCATATTTTTGCTAAGTTGTTATCTCTTTTATTTGAAAAGTTATGGCTAGTTTTTCCTGAAAAATATTACTTTTTTTTTAATTAATTTAAATGCTTTAAACAGAAAAAGCTCTTGCAGATATATGAAATCAAATGTTTCAAAATCGGTTTGCTCCATTTTGAGATATTTGCAATTGAAAAGAGCCATTTTTTCGAAAAAAAATAACCTTTAACTTTCTAATCAAAAAAGATAATAACCTAGTTGCTTGAGCAAAAATCTGCGTCATTAAAAGTTCTAAATGTAATCAGAACAATGTTTTTACGAGAAATTAACGCATGAAAATATATTCAAGAAATTATATTTTAGTGGCCACCCTAACCTGCTGTTTAAAAAAAAATCATAACTCATGAACCATAAGAGATAAAAACGTTGTGTCTTCAACAAAGTTGCTTTGAATTTATAGTACTACAACTGTTTAGAACACTGCTTTGGTCTACCTCAAATAATAAAAAAAGTTTGTATTTTTAATTCACTACTTTTACGAACATAAAGATTGAACAAAGAATATGAAGCAACTTTCCCCAAGAAAGCATATACCTAAAACTGACGGTTTGGGCGCAAACATTTTTGTCTTCCTAAATACGGCTTTGGGACCATTGTGCATTGGTTTTGGTTCTACTATACTTATTTTTGTGACGTCTTGATTGTCAAGTTTTCTTCGTACACACTTAGATTTTTTCGCCGAGATGGGCACCACCGAGCAGCTCGGCATTTTATTTTGCTGCATCTCAGTGAAAAACTTGCCGAGATTCAGCTAACAAACGGGAATTTTGCCGAGATCTCAGCTAACAAACATATTTTTTGCTGAATTTCCAGCTAAATAAAATGCCGAGCTGCTCGGTGGTGCCCATCTCGGCAAAAAAATCTAAGTGTGTACAGCTAAAAAAACATCTATTTCAACTGTTTTTTTTTTTGCCTATTTGCAACAATTTTGAGGTTATGGCCAACTTATGTTCTAAGGGTGACGGTGTGAACATTTTTTGGTGTGATAATATTATTTAGCTGGGTATCTAATCTAGGGAAAATGGCGCGAGTAACGTATTTATTTTGAGTAATATCTCGTTCACATTACAGCGTATATCACGTGATATACGCTGCCTTGCAATGAGCACTCATACATCTAGTTTTCACTGGAATTCCTATGTATGAGTGCTCATTGCAAGACAGCCTATATTACGTGATATAGGCAGTAATGTTAACGGGGTATAAAGTATCACTCGACCAAGATTTTGGCACTTATCGTTTTCCGATATAAGGAATAAGCGTGGATCATTCACAACTCAACATCATTTGTACCCTTTCAATTCGTATTGAGGTAAAGTTAGTTAGGTTATCTTTATTAAGGAGAATATCATTTGCATTGAGGTCCCCAACAACTGTGTCAAATTTTAATCAATTAGGATACGATCTGGATTTGCGGGAGAATGTTAAATTTCGTATGGACAAATGTATCGGAAATGGATCTTTGCGTGTAAAAAATTCAAAAGTTGCCCAATGTTCATCAAAACCATACGAACTTTAAAGTTCTCCCGCAAATCCAGATCAAAGCCAAATTCTTTCAAATTTGGCAGAGTTGCTGGAGACGTCAATACAAAGCGAAGAGCGGTGGAGAGCAGGGGGACCCACCCTAATGAGCATGCTAAAATTTTCCGGAGTAAAGTTGATGTTATATTATTATTATTATTATTATTTATTAGTGACACTTTATCACTTCTGTGACATTCGTGTGTCTGATTTTATATGTTGTTCAAGATATGTGTGTCATATATACCATATATATTTGTGGCCATTCAAATATGGCTATTTTTCCCACCAGACAAGATCGTCTGGCTAATTAATTTGCAGGATTATTGATAATCATAATATAAATAGTTGCTTCTTTACTCGTATATTTTGTATTGTATTATTTATTTTTATTATTTCTCTACAACAAATAATGCTGTATTCAAGGTAAAGTGTTAACAAACGACAATACAGATTATATTTTAAATGATAGTTTTATGTTTCGTGCATTCTTAATTAACAAGCAACTTTTCCAATCAATTTTAGGTAAGCATGATCTCATCATATGTAGAAACTAAAATCTGTCATAGCATTAATATATATATAATAGGGTATCTATAAATTTGAATAATATTGAAAAGCTATGTTCTGTTCCTCATCAACATACATTAAAAAAAACTCGGTAAGCACACACGTCGTCGTACATTGTTATAAGGTTGATAAGGTAGCGCAGCACTTAAAAACACAAACATGAACACCCCTGCATTTTCATAGGCTGACAAATGACCAGATTGTTATCATAATAAACACTAATTCAGCACCTTAAGGTTTAATTCTATATTTACAGTAATCAATAATCTTTTCCATTGTTTCAATTCATTTATTACTATCATTCCCTACATAACAAAATTGAAACCCAAATTTCGAATTGTGTGTAAAACGTCAAAAACAACGATGGACAAAAACGTATCACATCATATCCAACGCCTCAACCTGATAATATGCCTTCCAACGCGATCTCTCATCAGTACGTAGTGAAATGTGTGATAGTTGCTATAAAAACCATAGGCAACATTATGCTTGTGACATATCTACTTCAGTTTATGTTCGCTGTTATTGGAGTACAATTGTTCAAGGTAATTTTATGTTTTAAATAGGCTAAGCGTTCTTTTACTTTGTTCAATATATGCACTTATAAAATGTTGTGGTAGAATTAGTAAGAATGTTTTTGTTTGGAGGTTATAATTACACGGTTGTATACAATTACATTACATTTATGCAATATGACTTGTTTCAGTTACTACCAAACGTTGAAATTCATCTACTGCTGGTTGTATAGAATAGTGTTCTGCGTATCGCTTTCAGTTTATTTTCACACAAACTAAAATTTAGGATGAAAGGATACTGTCTTACATGTTTGAATAACGGCTTCAGTGCAAACTGAATGAAAATAAATATTTATAACCGCAATTTTGCAAATAGCTTTATATCAACTTACCGTTGAAGATTATCAAAATCTTTCTACTAATCAATTGTTTAAAATGATGTGCATTTAATCAAATAGTTCAAAATTAACGTAGTAAAGGCATCCAAGGAATAACGATGAATTCTGATCGAGAAATTATTAATTGATAATAATTATATGTATGTAAGAGACTAGTGTTGTCTGTCTGTCTGTCTGTTTATTTTTCTGTCACGCTTATATTCGCACAGGTTGGTGATGGATCTAATAGACAAATGGCTGGACACTATACAAGCTTCAAGACGGTCCAAATTTGCAAAGAAGACATGTGTGACCATTTATATGCAAGGCGTATGCTTATTACTTCAGGGTATAAGGGGATTTATATCCATGTATCGACGATTGTCGATTACCGTTGTGTAATATTTTATATTTGCACCATTTCTGGTTGAATTACATTCAACGTGTATAAGCTAAATGCTATTTTGAGGCTACTCAGTAACTGGGTAGATCGCACTCATTTTTGCATGCTGTATGGAGATGTCAAAAAATGAGGTTTTGTTCGGATAAGTGGAGAGTGAGAATCTGGATAGATATTCTTGGAAAATGATATTAAAATGGCACACTTTGAAGTTGTGAACAAGCGATTTTTGCGCAGTGAGTCTAAAATCCGTTTATAGAAGTGAAGCAGTGAAAATGGAGCAGTTCCGTAACAGCCCTGGATGACGAAACCATCAGCAGCTAAACAGCAAAAAAAGTTATCTTCCATTTAATTCCACTTAATTATTTTTTTGTATCCACATACGTATTTTGACTACAATGTGCAGTCTTTATCAGTGTCAATCCTACTAAAGACTTATCAAAATATAGTACTCATCCCCTGATCTATAGCATGGAATTAAATAGAAGATATTTTTTTTTGTTTCAAAGCATTTCACTAACAATCAAATGTCATTACTTCAGCAGCTAGTTGGTGATTCATGAAAGTAACAAACAGTTCCCGAAAGTATGTTAGGATTTTTTGGATGAAGTTGATGGAGACCATCCAGACTGAAGCAATTTAAATACATAGGGGAAACGGATGTAATGTCGGCCTAAATGTCCCTTATTTGGGCCCATAGATAAATTCAGCAATCGACTAAATTTTCTATAGTGACCAAAAATATCTATAAGTACCGTCCCAATGACGTGTTCATCTAGATAAAATTGATAAACAGCAGATTTTCAGCGATGGGCCCAATCTTAGATCCTGGCCTATGGACATTAGAGCCATTTCCCCTATTATCTCATTTTTATTTTTTATTTTTACAATTTACGAGTTACGAAATGATTTGGTAGAAAAAATACAGAATTTACATATTTTTTATATTCTTCTTGGACGAAATAATGGGGCATTCATTCGTTTCTATCTAAATGGGTAAAGTTTACTCAGTTGACAAATGTCATCATCTGAGTAAACCTTACCCACTTTCCTCCATAGGCACGTTTTCTCAGATTTGAGTAAAACCTTATTTTCCTATTTTTGGGTAACTTCCCTTTTGGCTGGACTAAGTGACTTTCGATCAAAAAATTAGTAGCCAGCGCGAATCAAAACTACCAAAAACATGCGTTTTTATTTGAACGTAAACGGTAAACGATATTTTAGAAGGGTAGCTTTTAAGAGAAGTTGGTAGATTAATTAGAAGAACAATGATCTAATCAAATTTTCTAAACTCAAATTTTACACCTGGTACATCAGATTTTCTAAATTGGCTTAAAAGTGGTCATTGTCCTCAGCAAAGTTATAAATAATGCATATTCTAGCAACTTCGCTAAGTTTCAAATTTCGTATACTAGTCTAGTCTAGTCTAGTCTAGTCTACACATACACAGCCAGTACTTGAAAGAATCCTGGAAAATGATACATCTATCATTTTTCTTGTCATTATTAATGCCTGCTGCACATCAAGGATGTGAAACAAACAATAAAGCGGCCAGGCCTACTGTGTAGCGTTAAGTTAATTTTTGTGGAAGTGAATGTTTACCATGTCTACTTAATAAGTATAGACAGTGGTTAACATTTAATCCACAGGTAATCAAAGAGCGGGGACATACCGTACCAACCGCTCCGTATGCAGGGCTATATAAATCGTTGGGAGTGACAGAGCTAAGAAAGTTAATGTACACTCCTTGATTGTCCGATCTCCTGGGATGGAACACAGGTATTTACCCCTTGTGTTCGAGCGTACAGTCCTCCCTCCGTACAAGCGTGGACGGCACCGCCAACCCACTGCCATCCCTCAATCGATCCAGCCGACCTCAGTCGAAGGACAACAGAGAGCGGTGTGCGGACGTAACCTATACGGAGGGAATGCTGTATTTGCCTAGGTTATAGCGCCCTTGCTCGCTACCATTTTCTTCTAGCGGTTGGGACCTGAGCACTAACTCTTGTCCTAGCCCTATATGGCATATGGTTATAGCGCCATTACTCGCTTTCTGAAGAGAAAAGAAGGGAAGGGAAGGAGAGGAAAAGGACTTGGGAAAAGGAAATGCGGAATTCCTTTCCTCATTAGTATTTGTATCGTCAACTTTTATGAAAACTATATAAATCATTCTTCCTTGGTCAGAGGTATTATTACGACATTTGAATAAGATTGTCTTATCATTTCCCTAATAAAAATAACCATAAAAGAGAGCTTAACGACGTGTTCGGGGTATCATCCAAACCCTATGTGGGATGGTTTACCTATCCGAGATACAGTTCGTTTATGGTATTTGTTTATTAGGGTTGTTATTCAAAATTTAATGTTATAATGATCAACATAGCTTTGGATTATCCAATATAAATCGGTAACACTGTCCTGCAACCGATGTAGGAAGCACCAAAGAATATATATAGACAAATCTCAAAAACACAGTTTTAACTGATAGTACTTTATAAACATCAAACTGTGCGGAAATATTGGATCCTGCCAATTATTAGCACCAGAATAAATTGCAACGGACTCACCAAATTGATCCATGAACGATGTCTTGTTACAGTGATCTCCATACTCAAGGGTTGGTTGACTGGGCTCGAAAATAGGTTTTCCTATTCTTAGTATCGGACAAGCGAACCAAAAATCCTGTATGGCCAATCAGTTGATTAGTCAGATGATGAAAGCACAATTGTGGCTGAATGGATTCAGGCTGCTAATCTGAGAATCTGACCCACTTGTAAGGAACACAAAGAGCCACAAAGAACAACCAATGGTGCTAGGTTCCGAGATGATCAGTGGTTTAAGAACTCTGGGATGGCAAATAGTTGAAGGAACACTAATTACAACTTCACAAAAGTCTAGAAAAAACGGAGCAAAAATTGACGGCTGAAAATTTTCTAAGTCTCCCTTCGAGCACAGCTCACTACGATCTCCTAAGTTTCAAATTTCGTATACTGTATAAAAACCCTAATTTTGTTAGAAGTTTTCCGAAATCTCATTTTAGCAACATTATATGTTCTAGAAAGTCAGGGATCATATATTTGGATGGAAAATGGCCTATTTTTATGGATTAAATAACTTTTGAACTTTTAATTTTAACACCTTAATATCTTCTAAAAAAACTTATGACTTAATGATATTCAAAACGTTCTAGAACACATCATGCTACTAAAATGAGATTTCGTAGTTTTTTTTTTAACAAAAATCGATTTCTGAAGGGTTTTATAAAAACGTTAATTAACACATCATACAGTCAATATACTGAGTATACATCTTTAGAAAAGTTGCTAGAATTACAAACTTATCTGAAGGCACTAAACACCTTTAAACTATTTAGAATATTTTATTTTTTCAGTACTCTCTAGCTGGATATATCATCTATGTTCTACTATCATCAAAATATGCTGTATCAACTTTTCTGAAGCAAATACGCTTCTAAAATAACGTTTGCACACCTCAATTTAAAAAAAATACACTGAAGTCTTTTTTATCCGTTTTTTTTTCACGCGGTTTTTTTTACACGGTATTTTTACACGGTTTTTCGCGATTTACACGTTACGTTTTTAACGATTTCTCGACAACGATACAACCTATCGACTTGATTCCAATCACATTATCCGTTTCAAGCTATAGGTAATCGAATGGCATACTTAAAAAAATCACAATTTTTGGTGCAAATACAAAAAATTTAAAATATGTCTATATGGACCATAGCATGCTATAATTACAAATGGCATCAAAATCCGATTTTTTAAAACATTTTAACATGTGAAAAATCAAAATCTCGTAGGTTTTTTCTACATGGTACGTATTCCCCGTGTAAAAAAGACCTGAGTGTACATGTTTTTGGTAGGTTTGAACCACCACTGTGCATTCAACATTATTGGAATCAATCAACATTCCATTATTATAGGAAACAAAGTTAACAACTACCACAACAACTGAAATAATGTTCCTATTAATTTGAGGAAGAGGCTACCAGAAACTCGCTATTCTAATGGTCAGGGTTACTAGAAGGTCAAACTAAAAATGCACGGAATGTCGTCCATACATACATACATACATACATACATTTATTTGTACAACATCACATTTAAGATAAGACATAATACTCGGTTTGTGGCCGCCGCTCTCCATCCTCGGTCATGCCCAATGCTCGCTAGATCACGCTCTACCTGGTCCGCCCATCGTGCTCTCTGCGCTCCACGCCTTCTTGT